AGCCACAATGATCCCCAAGTGCCACTAGATGCAATCACTCAAGCAAATACACTTTGAATCACTCCCAATCTCACTATGATGATGAATCAATAATGGAGATGAGTGGGAGGTGTTTGCTTAGGCTCACAAGGATGTATTATAGGTGAAAATGTCCAAGAGAGTGAGCCCAAACCGAAGCACTTCTATTTATAGATCCCCCAAGCCATAGAGAGTCGTTGGGAGCTCGAGGGCCAACCGGACGCAATGACCAGATGCTCCCCAGCGTTTGGTCAACCAGCGTCCGATTGTCCTTGGCCGTCCATGTGTTAGTGCTTTGAATCCCGTCCATCGAATTCCAACGATAACTAGATGACTTTGATCGCAGTCAAAGAACGACTAGACGCGATGCTCAAGTCACCTAACGCATGAACACGCGGCGTCCGATTGTTTCCAGCAAGCATCCAAACATGATTTACAATGACTGGACGTGTCAGGTCCTAGGTGACCGGACATGTCGGTAAGTCCAATCAATACTACGCTTCACACCCGAGCTATGTCAGCATACATCATCGCTTGACCTGACGTGGCCCCTGCTCGTCCGATCGCACAACGCTACCCACGTCAGATTGTGATCCCGCGCGCTACCTTTTCTGCAACAACTGACCGGACGCGATGCTAGAGTCAGGTCCCGCGTCCGATTGTAGCTCCACGCCCTCGGTTAAGTTTGCCAACTCAGCTAAAAATGACCGGACGTGCTCGGGGTGAGTCTGGTCACCCCGGCGACAGAGTTCGGTCACTTGCCTTCTCCTACTTCTCTTTTTCTAACTCCACAACTGCTTCGCCCTTGCTTCCAAGTTGCTAACCACAAAGTGTAGAACTTGTGTGCTTGTGTGTTAACATTTTTCAAAGTATTTTACAAGGGTCAAGTTAGCACACTAGATTCCTAAGTGCATATGCAAGAATCATGTCACCTAGTGGCACTCGATAAACCGCTTAGCCAAAGAATTCCCCTCCTTATAGTATGGTTATCGATCCTAAACGTGATCACACTCTCTATAGTGTCTTGATCACCAAAACAAAAACCTATTTGATGTCTTTGCCTTGGTCAACCTTCTTTTTGTTTTTCTCTTTCCTCTTTTCCATGTTAGAGCTTGATCATCATCATCACATGTCCACCTTCATCTCCATGGACTTCATCTTGCTCCATCACTTGGATTTGACTCCCTCATCTAATTCACATGCTTAGATCAAAAGTTAGTCCTAGGGTTTCATCAATTATCCAAAACCAAACTAGTGCTTTTAGCCGGACCAGTCCATTGCCTATCTATAGGTGTGGAGAGGCTGAGGAAAATACCAAGAAAGGTGATACTCTATTTTAGCGATCTCCACGTGTACAGTGCTTAGCGAAATATTTGGCGATTAGCATAGGCGCTTTGCGAAGTGCTTAGGTTACTTATACCACGCTCATATGCGCTTGCTTTAGGTTTAGGCCTAGTGTTTAGTGAGGTTTGCACAACTCTTACCACTCGGTGTTTGTGCGCACCATTTTTGTATATCGGAGGAGCTTGTAAGTCTTGTGAGACCACACCAACCGTGTTTATGGTGTGACTGTCACCGTGTATAGAGGGAACAAGGCCCGCGGCATTTTCGCCAAAAGCTTAATAGTGAAGACAGCGGGGAGCATCCGGGAGAGGCTTGCCGGAAGGCACATTGGAGACCCACTTGTGCATGGGGAAGGCCCGAGGTTATCCATGGAGTTATCCGACTGGGAGCTTGGCCCTTGCGAGGGGCTCCAACGAGGACTAGGGGAAAGCGTGAGCTTCTCGATACCTTGGTAAAAATTCTGGAGTCGTCAACGGGAGTTTGCATCTCTATCGCCCTTTTACCTTCCGCATTTATATTATGTACCTTTTGTGTGCTTACTTTCCAAGCTTAGTTTGATAGGCTAGTTGATAGGATTGAAACCTAGGGTGCATAACTCTTTTGCGGTAGAGATAGCAACACGCCTAGCAAAACCGTAGTTGCATATTTAGATAGTTTATTTAATTGCATAGGTTTTTCTAAGGTGAAAATTAGAGGCCATAGTTAGAAGTAGTTTTTTTAAGTTGCCTAATCCACCCTCCTCTTAGGCGTCACGGTCTTTACACAGTGCATGGTTGATAACTAGAGGAGACGTGGTGCTATAATTGCATGGTTTGGGTTTTTCTTATCAGAAGCTGGATGGTATGTGTTTTCTATGAAATTGAGAGTTATCTTCACCTGACGGAAGATCGGGTACCCATTTCCATGAAGAGGTAATTAGAGCTTCATGTGTTATGTTAGGTTTTCCCTTTACCCTAGTTATTTTTTGTCCGCCTTCATCCCACTGTCCACGAAACCAAAAATCCTCGTACCCTACACCTATGCCATCACCTTTGCATATTTGGTTTCAGAGTCTGTAGTTTTTAGTTTGTGTCCTATGTAAGTCTGGTTGCTAGTTTAGTTTGTTTCTTAGTCCAGTTTTTATAATTCCTCTCCAACATCAAAATCAGTTTGAGCTGGTTTCCAAAACCAGCCTAGGTCAAAATTTTCAGGGTTTTGTAAACTTTGTCTAAATTGTTCTAGTTTTTTTTCTTGTTTGCACGTAACTTTCCGGTCCCATTTTGGCTGTCAACAATAGTACAAGCATGAGAATAATAGAATTGGAGATAGGTAGCAAGCATGGGGATTAATCGTGATCAGAGTTACATTTAAGAGAAGGTTCGGGTAGAAGGCAGGAGGAGGAAGAAGAACAATAACTAGACAGGGGATAAGTTATGTTTCTAGATAAATGATTGGTGCGGTTTACAATTTGGGCGACGAAATATCGTTTTTTCCTAGAGGACCCAAAAAATTATATTGGTCAAAAATTTTCGGTTAAATTCATCTTTCACTCCAAAATTACACCAAACCACACTAAAATAACTCTCCATATCCTCTAGTCTTATGAAAGCCCTAAATTTCTTCAAATTTATTTAATTTTCTCACTCACACATTCGACGGCACGCATATGCAGCCCGCCCACTGTCAGCCCGCTATATTACCGCGGCTCTACTTCTGTGATATATTGTGTTATTTCGTGTACTGCTAGCACCCGAACATCCGAACATATGCCCGTGACTGCTGGCCTGCTGCGTTGCTCACCCGCCTGCTCGCTCACCTGCTTGCCCGCCTGCTGCGCTTGCTCGCTTGCCTGCTAACCCATGCCTACTGCTACGCGCCCGCGCCGCTCCGTGGGGACCGCCCGTGCCCACCTCGCTTCCCTCGCGCACGTGGGGACCACCTGCGGCCACGGGGACTGCCTTCGCCTGCGCCCGCTTCTAGCGTCTGCTCATGAAACACTTGCAACATGAAGAGCTTGCTATAACATACGTCTAAAACAGATGAAATATTTGGAACATACGCTTGTAACATATGTATATAGTCACTGCAACATATGCAACATCTAGATAACATATTTGCAACATACATCTGAAACAACTAAAAATTTTGGAACATACACTTAAAGCATACGTGTATAGCCATTGCAATATGTGCAGCATCCCGATTTACTTTTGCAAGATATAGATGAAACACATGCAACATACGTCAGAAGCAGCTAAAACACTTGCAACATACGTCCGAAACACTAGCAAAAACACCTGATAACACTTGAAAATCATTGCAAACATATGTAACATCCAGATAAAACACTTGCAGCATTTGTGTAAAACATATGCAACATCTAGATAAACACACTTGCAACATACGTCTGAAAAACAAATGAAATATTGGGAACAGACGCTTGCAACATACGTGTACAACCATTGCAACATATGCAACATCCCGAGCTACTTTTGCAACATCCGTATGAAACGCTTGAAACATACATCCGAAACAACTGAAACACTTGAAACATAGGCTTGCAACATGTTTGAAAATGCTTGAAACACTTAAACATAGCGTCACCGACGACCATGGCCTACCTGGTGGGGAACTGTGGTAGCCAGCAAGCTCGGGTCAGAAGGACGTCAAGAACAACGACCCAGCGTACACATCCGCTGTAGGACTTCCCTTCCTACCGTGGTGTCTTCGGCTGGCTATAGGAGACAATGTCCCGAGCGGCGACGATCTCCTACTGGTAGGGTCAGGTTGGTGGTGGCCCGGTGACGCCACAACCGGGACGGGCGAGGTAGAGTGGGGCGCGGCGTGGCCGACGATGGGGTGCGGCGCGGTGGGGGGAAGCGCACGGCTTGGCGAGGGACGGGGTGCGGTGGGGCAATGGGGCACGGCAGGACGGATTGGGGCGGGCGGATGCGAGTCTGAAGAAGAGGCAGAGGAGGAGACGATGTCGGTGGAAGTTTAGAAATGAGTGGATAAGAATTAACGTAGAGAATGAGTGGTTGATATGAGCATAAAGTCCATCCGATATTTTTTGGAGCGGACACTCGGGTTGGAGCATTACCGTATATAAATTTGTGTTGGACGATGGTTTAGAGAGTTTTTTCTAGTGAAATAATGCCAATTTTAAACGTATTTAAATTTGACCCAATATTTCTAAAATTTCGTATTTATTGCAAGGGGGGCGAAATTTTTTGCTTACCGGTATTGTAAACCCTCAGCTTTTTTTTTTTTTTTTTGTGGAATGTAAACCCTCTGCTGCTACTCTTCTCTGGTAGTCTCCACAAAAGCGTCCAGGCCCACATGGCGAACCATAGGTGTACTTCCTATCTAATCGCCTCCGATTCGTTAATTTTCTGGATGATCTAATCGGTGCATGTAACTGAGTGGTGAAGCCTGTATTCTGCCGAACAAGTTAAAAAAAATACCAAGAAAACGGAGCAAGATTACAAAACGAGCACGCCTCTAGCGCTAGATTGGAACCTCCAAGGCTCAAGAACAGTAAGGCACACGCCGCGCGCTGGCTCCGCTAAAACGCGGAGGCGGCCGCCGGCTAGCGCGAAGAAACGGTCAATCAATTGAACTACCATACACAAAACCAAAGCCAAGAACGTACGATGACTTCAGCCGTACAAACACCGATGATCCCATCTTGGCGCTGCACCATACCCTCGCTCCACACCGTATGGTGTCGGCGACGCTGGCGGATAGCAGCTCACTGGAGCAAGGTCTACCGGTGGGTACATCGCGCTGTCCGGCAGTACCGACGGGTACAAGCTGCAGGACGACGTCTCCGGCGCCGGCGGGTACACCGCAACCGGCTCCACTACCTCCACTGGAGTCGCGGACAGTGGAGGAGGAGGGTAGTACCGCGAGTTCGCGAGCGTGACCGCCACAGGCCCAGCTGGTAGCGGTGTATGGTAAATTGGTATTTCCTCCGTCAGCGGCCACTCTATCACCGGGTACAGCCGCGGCGCCGCGGTCGTGGGCGGTGGCTGCGTGACGGGACTGGACACCGCGGGGGTGGGGCAGGGGGACGCGACGACGAGCTCGGCGTCGCCGCTCTGGTGGTGGTCGTCGTTCCGTTGGTGGAAGGTGTAGGAGAAGGAGATGACGCCATTGGGCTGCCTGCCGTCGGGGCCCGCCAGCTGGTAGGACACGCGGCGCGTCCGCCCGTCGGCGAAGAGGTCGGGGACCGGCACCGCGGCGGACGCGGCGAGCACGTCCCCGAGCACGGCCACCTCCGCCTTGAGCTCGAACCGCACTAGGAGGACGTCGTCGTCGCCTCTGTCCTTCCTGTTCTTGCCCGCTTGCAGTTCCAGCTTCGCCGGCGGTGGCGAGGCCTCGGGCTCGGGGAGGTAGAGCCGCAGGGGCGCGTCCCACTCGGGGTTCTCGCCGCCGGCACGGTCGGTGGGCGTCTTCACGCGGTGGGGACGGCGGTTGGCGTGCCCGTTCTTGGCGGACGACGGGGTGACGGAGACGGACGCGTAGAGGCACGGCGTGTGGAACGGGAGCGACGACCTGACGCCGCGGCACGACACCCAGCTGATGTCGATCGCCGCTGGCTCCGGCCGCCGGCGCGGGCGCTCCATTTCAGCCTGCTGACTGACCGGCAGCACGAGAGATCAACAAAGAACCGATCGAAGCCTGAACCGGGAAGAAGACGCGCTGAGCTAGGACTAGGAATGGCTCACTAATGTGTGATGAGAATGAGATGAGACGAGGAGGCGAAACAGTAAGCTGGGAGGTTAAGAAGGTGGTGAGCAGAGCACGATGACGCGGTGCCGGGAGACGACCGCGAGTTAAGTCTTTGAGGCAGACGAGAGGAGTACGAACGAGTGACGACCGGAACGGGACGCGTCCTTATCAACTGCCAGCGGCCCAACGACGAAGCAGCTCCAAGGAGGTTGCGCGGCAACTTCAGCACGGCTCGCGCCTGTCAGAAAGCTACGTGTTCCGGCCCTCCAAGAACCAGGACCACCGGTGTCCATGTGTCATTACGCTGCAGGAAGAAAAATCTGGTGAGCGACAGGGAAAGAGTTTAGATGACAGCACCAGGTTGTTGAATTTCGATTTGTTCGTCTCCCACCCAGTGACCACGAATTGCAGCGCAAACTGGCCAGCTGGGCAAGTAAGTATCTCATGTTCCAGAGTTGTTGGAGCAGGGGAATGGCATGATCTGGCTTTCAACACAGTCTAGCTGTTCAAGCGGTAAGCAGTTGGCGCTGCACCAACAGCGGCCATAGATTTAGCTTCAGTAACATTATCACAGTTGGGAGAACAAGATGCCCTTCTTGCCTCGTCATTACTCGATCTTTTCCACATGAACATGCTGGAACAACCAGCCTAACCTAACCCGGTTCCGGTTCCTTCCCAGTATGCGGCCCGACCGCAAAAGAAATTGCAATTCTGTAGAAGATGATCACAACACACAACCACTGAAATGGTTGAGCAAATAGGAAGCGAATTGAATCATTTGAGTTGTATTCTAAAACTTACACATGTATATGCAGCTGGATATGGACAGTGTTTTGAAGGGGAAAAACGTTGAACTATACACTCATGTTACAGCTAACTATGATCACAACAAACAATTGCCTCTGGAAGCAACAAAAAACTTTACTGCCATCCGCTAGGCAACATCAAAAGTAAAGACCTTTGCTGTGTATCTATATACCACCATCGGCTATAGATTACTCCAATCTGTGGTTCTTAAAGGGACATACTTTGAACGGCCATTTCCGATCCCTCTGAAGCCAGTTGTTCTTGATGAGACCATAGGCATGGTAAGCACCGATGAAGCGCTTATGGTGTCCTCCCCAAGGCCAAGGGACATGGAGCATGCAGACTGCAAATATGAACAAGTGAGAAAGGCGGACTTGTGACAGATCAATGGTACAATCAGATCTAGAAAGAAAGCCAATGACCTTTGCCTTCAACAGTACACGTTTTGCTTTTACTTTTACAGAAGTAACAAACGAGTTGCTATCATCTGTGTCTGTCTCCTCCATCTGCATCTTTCCATTTCTGCAGTGTCCAAGTTATATATCAAAACACTGAACGCAATACTGAACACAAAATGCAACAGAGCAAAACTTAAAACTTTCTACAAGTTCGTGGAATAGAACCTGTCCATATCAATTATGGAGTCCTCGGCGGTGCTCGAACCATCTTTCGTATCAGCTGCCAACAATTGACCAAGAGTCAAAATCTTCTCTGTGTGAAAGCACATGAAAATCAACCTTCTACCAACCTTTACTGTCATCGGGTGCTAGCAAGGAGATCCCAACGAAGACAAATGTCATGCCCAATACAAACATAATTATCCTGAGCGTATCAAATACCTGACAGCGGGAAAACAGAATCCTCAGTTTCTAATTAAGCAATGCATGATTCGCTTCATTATCTGATTATCGCAAACAGGAACCTACTTGATATTCTTGAAAGTAAACAAATCCTGTACAAATAGAGAAGAAGGTCCAAGCAATTTGAAACATTGGAACAATCAGTATTGCATCAAATAATGACAGCCCTTCATTCAATCTTGCCATCTGTAACATAGGGCATACAGAAGTTGAATTAGACAAACAACCGCAGCGAAGTAAGCATCAGAAACAACTCATTAGGTTTGCCATACCCAAAATCCAGCAGTACACAGAAACAGAAGAACAATTGAGTATGTGAACCAGCTATGGAACTCGTATCTGCTGCTCATAGTCAGCCTCAGCATGTTAGACCTGGACAGGAAACAGGAAGGAGGGGTGATAACACATGGTAGTCAGCACCAAATAAATCTGACAGAATCAGCATCCTAGATGCATGGATTTTTATGAAATAAAATATAACCTACAATGACTTTGCAAACAAGACTGAGCAAGATCCAATAGCACCAGATACAACAGCGTAAGAAAATGGCAACATTGTTCGCCAATATGTGCCAACATCTTTTGAACTATTTGAAATAATAGTTTCTCCACTCCTGCAAAAAAAGTTTTTGAACTGGTAAGGAAGAGCATGGCCTGTTTCTGAAGAGAATAGGTTACACAAGCAAGGCCTCACCTGTAGAGATAATGGTTAAATGCAACAACAAAGACCAATGACATGCAATAAAGAACAAACACCAAATTGCTGTATTTTGCGATCAGCTGCTCCGGCGTGTAAACTGACAAGATAATTTTAGTATCAGCACGACTAAATAGGAACCACGAAACAACCGAAATCGCACATCTCTACATTGCAAATATTTCGCAGATACCACATATAGTAGAAATGGCAAATGGAACAACCCATACCAGGTGATTGATGGTTGCCGAAGGATACTAAGAAGATGTTGCCAAAGACGATAAATGTTGTAGCTACCATGACTCTGGAAAGAAGCGCAAAAGCTTCATTAATCACATGATTCCATGTATTGATTGTAATTTTCATTCCAGCTAACGGGAAGTGAGAAACATACATACTTCACTGAAATAGTCTTGTTCAACACAAAGTAGGCAAAAGCAATGTTGGACACAAACTGGATTGATCCAAGAGCTGCAAGTAGTGACTGCAATATAGCAAGTAAATAATCAATTTCCAAATCAAAACACTAGAGAAATATAAAAAAGGGCGTACCCAGAAAATATGATTGGATGGCATTATTAGCTCTAAGTAAGAAGCAAGAGATGGAAACTGTACGATTGAGAAGCTCTTATCTTTTTACAACAAGAACTAATGGAAAATTGCTATTCCTGTATTGCCAATAGAACAGGGCACAAATGCAGAGTCTCTACAAGAGCTTTATTCTTTACATGTTTACACAACCATTCATGAGTTTCCCATATTAAATTACATCCTACATGTTAAACTAAATTTGCTTTTGACGTCTTGAGGACAACGAGAAGAACCTGTGCAGCATAAGCAAATGACATGAAGTTGAGGCAGTTCCCAGCAGCAAAAAAGAGTATACCTGAATGCAGATGTAGCATTAAAGTTGGCCTTGATTAAAAGACTCTAAAATTAGTAAATAAATTCTAGCAGGTAGGATTACCTATTCTCCACGTCTGGAAATGCATAACAGACTTTGGAACGAATTTTTCATTTCCCTCGCTGTTGTTAATTAAGGAAAGCTTTTCTCTCTGCCAAATAAAACAAACATATTTTTTTATTCTTCTTCCCACGTAAAACAACATCATATTCACACATGGGAATTGAGCATAGTGCAAGTGCAAGATCTCTTCAACATGAGATTGGGTGCCGGTTTCTTCTTATTTACTGCCTAATTTCGCATAGTCATAAGTTGCTTGTTCCTTTTTTTCATAATCCACACATAAAAATAACTACAATCACATTAATTTCAAAGGATGTTAGGCATTAATGTAGACAATGCTCAAGTACCACAGCAAAGGTTAGCTACAAAGTTACCAATATTGGCCTAGGGAATCAAGCTATATTTGACGTGCTGTCCTACAGTTTGACATCAAATGCACAATTTATTGCTTACAACATCTTCAAGTGCACTAGAAATAGCTAATGAGGCAATCAAGATCTTTGTCAGTTAATGCAACATTTTCTCATGATGAAGGCTGTAGATGAAATGGCTAGGTCATCTGGTAACCAAAAAAAGGGTGTTACTGGGGTTCATTTTTTTTCTGCTTTTTTTTTTTTTGGTAAAAAGACATGGATTTAGACTAAAGGTGTTTTCACCCTCAGCTGACTAAATCGGTCAAACTAGGGCACCCGCATGTATGTTCTCCTCGATCTTTTGACTGGAACACATATATGAAGTATATTAGAAGTAAGAACAAGGAGCACAATTCAGAAACATGTAATATCCACCTGATCATGGCCCGACTTCAGAAGGTTGGTACCAAAGTTTATGGCAACACTCCCCACGATGTTTATCAACGCCCCTATAACCCAGTCGCCCATGAGTCAAGTGTAAAGTTATCCCCTACAAATATATGATATGCTCCTTCCACGAGCCCCTTGTACAACAGCTCCTTGCTCTTGTTTTTGACATATGGACTTCAATTCATTGAGATCTTTCTCTCCTTCCCCTTTTTCTCTTCTTTTGCGTAGGTGTATTCACCCCCAATAGTCTGTCACAAATCTCTCCAAGATCCCTTTTTCTCTTCTTTGCACAGGTGTAGTCTATTACAAACCTCTCCAAGAACCACTGTGGAGCTCAGCCTGCAAAAAAAGCATAAATAAATGCCATTTCAATCAGACACACACAATCCGGATGAGTACCATTGGTTATTTGAAGATAGGGTCATTCTAGGAGGCATTCAAAGAGATGGCACCATTTGACAAGGCATTCAAAGATGATGTACCCCCAGGGGCGGACCCAGAATTTTTTTTGCAAAACAATCGAAGCGCGTAGGCATAATACATGCATATACGCTTCTAATTAGACCAGATCCGAATACAAATAGCAAGTTAGGGTTTGGGTGCTCGGTTTCGAACAGCAGGAATGGGAGACCAAGGGGTGGGCGTACCTGGTGGTGCTCGTCGCCGGCGAAGGGCCGGAGAAGACCTGGGCACCTGGCGTACGGCGGCAGCGACCGCCCTCGGCCCGAAGAAGACCTGGGCACCTGGCGTAATCGTCGGC